GCAACTCACTTCTTCCCCCTGCCTCCCTTTCTCCAGATTTCCAGAGTCTGCCATCAGACTGGCATCAGCTACATTCCTCAAACATGCCAAAATCCATCCCACTTCAGATCTCTGCCACTTCTGTGCCCTCTGACTGAACTTGTCTTTCACATCTGCTTACATTGCTGATGTCTTTGCAATCTTCAGGTTTCAGATTAAATGTCACCTTGTCAGAGCATTCTTGTGAGCATCAGCTTCTTTAGAATACCTCCCACTCCCTGCTCTGACTTTCTCTATTCTTTTACATGAGCATCTTCTGTCGCTCTTATTGCCATCATTCATGCTCTTGTTTATGAATCTTCTGGTTGGCCCGTAGACCTTTGCACCTCAATGCAAGCTCCAAGAGGCCGAGTAACTAACTTGTATTCTTTGCCTGCCTGACTTAAAGAAGAAACAAATAAAAACGTTGAGGGAGGGAAAGAATGCTATAATAAAGCTTTCTAAAATAACACAACATATAAAAATCCTTAACTCCTTAGAATCAACTAATATGATTCTCTCTGAATTACAAGTCTGTTGCCTAAATATTAATTTCATTTCAACACTTTGACTCCTCTTCATTCTCTTAGTCACCAAGATCAGTTGCTTCCTGCATCTAATTCTTTCAACATTCTATCTTCCTCTCTGCATTCAACACCAACTCCAAGCATCATGGGTAAAAGTCTCACCCCATGGACCTCAGCCAGGGTCAACTAACTGGGGTCTCAGCTGGACCATCAGCTTCCACTTATTTTCTTCCTGACGCATCCATCCCCTAAAGTCACTGTAACCTTTCAATTCACTTTTTAAATGAAATCCATGCTTTATCTTACTCTATTAGGTACAGAATCCTCAAGATAAAATTACATTAAACTACATTTGCCCAGCTAAAACAGTTAATAATGTCTTCCACTCTCCTGTTACGAATTCTGCTGGTCTACCCAAAGGCTCATCTTTCTACTCCCAAAAATAAGTCAGAGTATTACAATCATTGGGTTTGGGCTTAATCATGCCACAGTCCTTTTTCTCTTTCAACTTAAACAAAACAGTTTCCTCCAAGCCCAGTTCACATCCAGCTCCTCCATTTTCATCTCTCCACTCAGCTCCAGTCCACATGCTGGCCTTCTTCCCCACATACTGCACTGAAAACATTGTTCCATGTGGTATTTGATTACCCAAGACTTACTATTGTCCTTCATCTATGTAATTTTGAACTCTCAAAGGAAATTGAAGTAGGGTGTATGTCCTTACTTCCTTATATTCCCAGTGGTGGCCAAAGTAGTACTTATCCAACAGGAGAGACACTTACCCTGGCACTGACTTACAGGATCCTGAGGATGAATCCCTTCAGCAACAACCAGCCGTCCTAGATGACCTGCCATACCTGAACAAACCCTCCTGTCTCTTGCCTTTGATCTTTTCCACGAGTTCTCCATGCCTGAAATGTCCCTGCTCATATGTATTTGCCAAATCCCTAATTCTCTTTCTTGTCCCAATTAGGACAACACTATGAAAAACATCCTTACCCTTTACTCACCCGTCAAATCACCCTGATATTGAAGCACATTGTTGATCAACATAGTCTCATTAAGTGCTCAGACTTTAGCATCCAGAACAACTATAATAGCAATATTTATTTTCCCATTGGTTTCCCTAATTGACCTGTGGATAGTGTGAAGTCACAAATGCATTCTTTATCTTTGTGACAGCAGAGTAACAATGTTTTTAGTTTATGTTGAATAAATGAATAAAGAAACAAAACAAGGTGATAGTGAAATCCATTGAAAGAACTAAGACTTTGGCCTCACAGGTAACCAGTGGGTATTCATGTGCAACATGCCATAGTTCACACCACTTAGAATCATTATTTAGTTTTTACTCCTCAAAATAGTACTTAAGCACCACATGAGTTGCATATTTGGAATACAGAGACAATCCAAACACATAAAAATCTATACCCTCATAGAAACTGCATATTGCCATCAGAAACAGGCAAGGGAGTGTGGTACCCCTGCTCTGATTAATTTGGATACCAGTAAAGATTTCTTGGCTGAAGCTTTCTGCAATAAAGGGGACATGAAATGCTTCTTGTAAGAACCAAAATGAGTTAAACTATGAAGCTATTTTAAAAGTTGGGTCAGCAAGATTGGCCAGTATCCTGGAAATGGAATATGAAAGAAAAGGAAGGGCTGAAGATGGACTTTACTCTCTGCAACTGTGGAATATAAAATTTGTGAATAGTTTAGAAGGGTAATATGCTGGGGGAAAATGTGTGCACATAGGAAATGATGGTTTAAAACTACACCTTAAGTTTCAACATATTATTTTGCACAATTAAACTTCCCTTGGGCATATGTCCAATAAATAATGTTCAGATCCCATTTTCTTAAAACATAAAATGAAATTTCATAAAATAAAATGGAAAATCTTTGAACAACTATAATCAGCCTATATTCATGAAGCATTGCCTGACTTAGGCACACAGTAAAAGCCACTGAAATTTATTTCCTAAAATTTTCCCAAGTTCTATTGTCAAAATAATCAGTGTTAACACATTTAGAACTATAAGTAATGGTTCCTATGACTATTTTTTTTTTTTGGAGGGGGTCTGGTCATGGGGCCTAAACTTGGGCCTGGGCGCTGTCCCTCAGCTCTTCAGCTCAAGGCTAGTGCTCTACCACTTGAGCCACAGCGCCACGTCTGGCTTTTTTTCTTTTTGTTTATGTGGTGCTGAGGAATCGAACCCAGGGCCTCATGCATGCAAGGCAAGTGCTCTACCACTGAGCCACCTTCCCAGCCCCTCCTATGACTGTTTATAAATGGAGGTCACACAATTATAATCATCGTCAATGTCATTAACTATATCTTGAATAATCATGATTCGTAATTCAGGTGTCAAATGGACCCTTAGAAAGAGGCTACATTTTTCGGGCTGGGAAGGTGGCTCAGTGGTAGAGCGCTTGCCTTGCATGCATGAGGCCCGGGGTTCGATTCCTCAGCACCACATAAGAAAAAACAAAGCCGGAAGTGGCGCTGTGTCTCAAGTGGTAGAGTGCTAGCCTTGAGCTGAAGAGCTGAGGGACAGCGCCCAGGCCCAGAGTTCAGGCCCCATGACCAGACCCAAGAAAGAGGCTACATTTTTCTAACTGTTCTAAATTTTAATCTAGTGCAAAGTCAGAGGATCACAGAATAACAATGTCCCCATGTGGATGACTCAGAATGACTTAAGCCATCTAAGACTAAATACTTGCATGAACAATATGAGATTTGGGCCTTTAGGCAACTACTTAAATAAGCTAAATAATAAGCTACTGTCTTTAATGGCTATAATTTGGAGTAAAAGTAGTAACAATGGTTTATTTTTTTTCATGCAATGAAGTATATGCCTGTAAAACTTACTGAATTTGGAGAATTAAAATTTGAGAGTTTATAAACGTATGATGCAACAGTAAGTCTGTGTAATGACTATGTCTCTAGCAAAATTGTTCAGTGGAGATCATGATGAGTTATAACTTGGACTTGGGAGTTTTCATTGCACAGAAAGGACCTCCCTCACTCAGTCTGGGAGGATTTTTTCCCCTTGCAGTCTCTAAGTAGTTTACACAATAAATGGTTATTTCCATGGTAGAAATGGCCAACATGTCTATGCCTCAAACTTAACCTATTATTATGGTTAGAAGTGAAGTTTGCGCTTCTTCCAGATTTTCACAGCCACAGAACTCTTGACCTGGCTGATGGAAAATGTAAGCATAAACATTGTTTCTTGACCTCAAAACAAAAGCAAACAGTAATATGCAGAGGCATTTATTTTGCTGGCACTAGAGTGGACTCTAGATAGACAGGACACTAAAAAAAAAATCCTGCCTAAGGAAGAATTTTAAGTGCAAATTCATCCATAAATTTTCCATGCTCTCTTAATAAAGACTTTGATATAAAGTGCTGAGATGAAAACTTCCTGACCAATTTATTAATGATATTAATGTATACAATAAAAACTTTTAGAATCTTAATTCACCCCATAACCAGGGATAAGTCCCACGTGAGTCCCAAAATCTCACTGCAAGCGGACGTGCCTACAATGAAAAAGACTTCCCTTTGCATTTTTTCCCACTTGAAATTCATTCAGGACTGTGACAAATGAGTCAGTTTCCTGCCCTTTCTTAAACTCACCACCTTCCATGAAGAGGAAAGTTGAAACCCTTTACCATCTTCATAGAATGACACGCATGGTTTTGTTATGGGGTCTGCTCTGAAATAGTCTATGTGGGTCCTCAGCCTGAATAACTGATGAAGAGCAGACATCTCTGTGCACCCAACCTACTGCCTTTTAGGCTTGGTGAATGTTTGCATAATCAATTAAAAATGAGACTGCTCCAGCATGTGACTCAACATTTTAACAAACAATGGGACTAGGAAACACATCAAGGCTTTAAATTGGCTCCTTTCTGTAATCTTCACATTTTAGTGTTAATTTTTAATATGTTCATGCTATTATCAAAACATAAGCTATAAAACCCAAGTTAGGAAAACACATGAGCATATAACAACACATACAGTCTATGGAAACAAATGGGTCAAGGTGATATGCAACAAGAATACTAGGAAAAAAATGTACAAATTGTATTCAACTCCCTCCTTGACATACTAAAGACACAAGAAAATTAAAGATTATTTGCCCAAAGATTTCATTGTTGCAAGCCAGTTTTGACATTACATCATATATTGTTCAAAGGACCCCACAGGGTTGCTGCAGAGTCACATACATAATTTAAACTTAGGTCAATATTCACCGTTTAAACTTAAGTCAGCATTCTGGAATAATAACTTCATTCCTTTATTCCTCCTTCCAAAATCAGCTTAGTATAATTCAGTTTCCTACTGTAAGTAGACCATTTTGACCAACTATATAAAGAAAATTCAAACAAATGCATTTAAGGTAACAAACTACATCAGAATAAAACATAAACTAGATTGTCTCTTACCTATGGTTGTAATAACAGTGCCAGCGAAGAAGAAGGAACTTCCTAAATCCCAGTGACTGATTTGATTGGAGGTGTTTCCTAAGGGAATAATCCCTGCATTTATTGCTGCCACTATTTGCTGCAAGTTTAAAAAGAAATTGATCAGTACATATCAAATAACCTTCATGCCTCCAGCACCATAAACCCCACCCCAAAATGACTAAGTAAACAAAGGTAATCCAAAATTTTGCTTCTCTATTTACGATACATCAGAGATTAAAACCTTCTACCCAAAATTAACAGTAGTTAAGTATGTTTACATTAGATATTAATTGTTTACATTAGATATGAATTGAATGGATCTGCATGAAGCTTCTAATAGTATGCTAATACAGTCATATCATCTCATGTCAAATGAGATGACATATTTAGTGACATTTGAATCAAAAACAAAATATAACAATGCACTAATGTAAATAGCACAAATTAGCTATAAATTCACATATTAGAGTACAAAACCAAGGTTTAAATAAGCAAAATATAATGGCCTTATTTTTTAAAGTATTTCCAAAGTGGTAATCATTTTAAAAGTTAAATATATGTATCCATGTTCATTTCTATTATAATAGCTAAATTATAGAAATAACCTAGGTGCTCTACAATAGAGAAGTAGATCAAGAAAATGTGATACATATACACAGTGGAATTTTACTCATCCATTAGAAAGAATAATAAGTATGTCATTTGCAGGGAAATGGAGGAAGCTAGAACAAAACATCTTAAGGGAGGTAAGCCAAGCTCGGAGAGACAAATGGTGCATGCTCTCTTCCATATGTTGAAGCTAGATCTAAAACACAACTGGATATGATAACTTACACGAGGCTGTACACGTTAACACATAAACTAACCAACTGAAGCAGAGTATGCATAGGAGAGAACATCTTTGAACATCTAAAGTACGGTTTATCAAAATGAATTCCAAGAAATGGAGGGAAGAAGGATGAGTAAATGCAGGCATTGCATTTAATACACACTATTTGCAGTCATTGTATTCAATATGATGTAAAACATTCACCAGTAGGGATGGGAGGGGAAATGAGGGAACCAGTGAATTAAGGGTTGAATTGCCCAAGAAACACTGTACTAGTAACCTGACTTATGAAATTGTAACTCTTTTGTACAACTCTTTAAAAATAACCAAGGCAGCCAGGCGCCAGCGGCTCACACCTATAATCCTAGCTACTCAGGAGGCTGAGATCTGAGGATCGAGGTTCAAAGCCAGCCTGGGCAGGAAAGTCCGTGAGACTAACAGAAGTAGTGCTGTGGCTCAAGTGGTAGAGCACTCACGTTGAGCTGAAGAGAACAGGGACAGTACTCAGGCCCAGAGTTCAAGCTCTAGGACAACAAAGGACAAAAAGCAAGGCTGGGTTGTCTATAATTATGGAGAGCATATGTCAAAAAAGACCCCCAAACCAGGCAAAGATGAAAAGAAGGTGATAACAATTCATGGTCATACTCTTAACTCAGTCTAGATAGATTTAGATTCAGATTCCTTGAATTTCTACAGATTCTAATAAATTCTATAGAAACACCAGAGGTTGTCATCTGCAATGTTCTCACAGGAACCACAGGACCTGGAGATTATATAGACACATAAGAGTACATGTATATGCGCATGTGTATATATGTATATGTGATATATCACATATATCCTATACGTATACATTATGTATTATTGTGTATACACCTATATATGCATACATACTGTATATAAAGTTTATCAAAATATAGTTTTGACATACCAAATTTGAGTTATCTGAAATCTTATATTCAATCTTCTTAGTTAATTGTAAGTAATTATAACTAACATGATCATGACAAAAAAGAAATATAGTTGGACTAATCTTAGTTATCAATAAATTATTTAGTAATTTATGTTTTAATAATTAATACTGCATCTAGACTTAATTATTAGTAATTTACTTAATTTATTTATTAATAATTATTACTAGTCATGATGCAGTTTTTGTCATTACCATATTTACTTAATCATGGTCTAATATGTAGGCGCATGTGTTGTTCTAAAATTTGTCTCATACAACATGATTTTGCAAACAGATTTGCACATAAATGCTTTGCATCTTTGAATATTTTCTTAGGAGCAATTGCTAAGAATAAAATTAGCACATTAAACATCATGAATATTTTAAAGCATTTGATAAATAGCAAATGGCTATCCAGAAAATTCCTCTGTTCACAATGGCCTCTAGCAATCCACAAATGCTTAATAATATCTCTAATAATGTCTTTTTATGTGTATAGAACTAAGATGCTTATATTTGTATATTCTTTATTATGAGCAATATTGTACAGTATGCTTCTATATCATAGATTAACTGCAAAAACAGACACACATAAATACATGCCCACAGCACACAATGAAACTGAGTTTTGACATAGTTATTTCTATTGATCTGACTCTAGAGTAACTTTGATGCCAAATAGTGCATGTCTTATTCATTACTCTTCTTTTCAAGCATGTTTTATTTCTTTTCTGTTATTCTTGCATAAATTTATAAACATTTAATTAAATTTAATAGAAATGTTCATCTCCATAAATTTGCAAACATATTTCTAGTAAAATGTTAAATATTTCAAGTACCCATCTTGTGTGGTGGTAACATGTCTATAATCATAGCAGTTGGAAGGCAGAGCAGAAGGATCATGGTGGGGATGTAGCCAAAAGGGAACTCTACTATTCTGTTGGTGGGAATGTAAACTTATTCTACCAGTATGGAAAACAGTATGGAAGTTCCTCAAAAGACTAAATATAGAGCCAGGCACTGGTGGCTCATGCTTGTAATCCTAGCTCCTCAGAAGGCTGAGATCTGAGGACTTCAGCTCAAAGTCAGCCCAGGCAGGAAAGCCCATGAGACTCTTATCTCCAATTAACCACCAGAAAACCAGAAGTGGCATGTGGCTCAAGAGGTAGAGTGCTAGCCTTGAGCTGAAGAGCTGAGTGACAGCGCCCAGGCCCAGAGTTCAAAACCTACGACCCATGGGGGGAAAAAAAAAAAAAAGACTAAATACAGAGCTTCCCTATGACCCAGCAATTTCGCTCCTAGGCATTTATCCCAGAGAACACAAACAAGGCCACACTAAAGCTACTAGCACAGCCATATTCATTACAGAATAATTTACCATAGCTAAGATACAGAATCAACCCAGCTGTCCTTCAGTGAATGAATGGATTAGGAAAACATGGTATATGTACACAAAGGAATTCTATGCATCCATCAGAAAGAATGATATTAGCCGGGCGCCGGTGGCTCACGCCTGTAATCCTAGCTACTCAGGAAGCTGAGATCTGAGCATCTCGGTTCAAAGCCAGCCTGGGCAGGAAAGACTGTGAGACTCCTATCTCCAATAAACCACCAGAAAACCGGAAGTGGCGCTGTAGCTCAAGTGGTAGAGCACTCGCCTTGAGCTGAAGAGCTGAGGGACAGCACCCAAGCCCAGAGTTCAAGCCCCGCAACTGACCAAAAAAAAAGAAAGAAAGAAAGAAAGAATGATATTATACCATTCATAAGGAAATGGAAAAACTTGGAAAAAATTATATTAAGTGAAGTAAGCCAGACTCAAAGAAACACAGGTTGCATGATTTTCCTCATTTGTGGTAACTAGACTGTGACTATAAATCTACAAGTAAACACACTTGGTAAAAGACAAAAAAACAAACAAACTATATACTAAGACATGATAAATTATAATATACTATGTTGAAAATGAACTATAGGACTTGTGGGTAGGAGCAGCAAGGAAAAACTAGGAGAGAGCCAGGGAAGGGGTGACAATGTTCAAAGAGAAATACAGTTATTACCTGACTTATGTAACTGTACCTCTCTGTACATAACCTTTACAATAAAATTTTAGATGAATATTATTATAACTGTCAAGTGTTTTATCAAGTCTTTAATTTTTACAATAAAACAACTTTATATTCTCAAAATTTATTCATTATATCCATGGTTTTTTATTTAGAGTTTAAATATTAATATTTACTGCATGTTTAACTTTTAATTTTCTGTTTTTGCTAATTCATATAAAAATAACAAGAAGCACATATATGTTAGCATAAATAACCTAATTTCATGAAAGAGTAATTACATTTTCCCACACAAAAAAATACTATGTAGCAGAGAGAGTGGCAAGTTTTGAAATTTTATAAATATTTTTAATGTTTGGATTCAACGCTTATTTAATATGCCCTTCTGCATTCAATGAGTCCTATTAACTCATGACCTGTGGGAAAACCCCATTATAAACTTGTTAGAGTTCAGTGGATTAAAAACACCTTAGCATTATGATGGAAATTGCATTGACCTTATCAAACCTCTGAGAAGATTTTAGTATACACAGTATGAGAATCACCATGCAATAATACTGAATGTATTATTTTGTTTGTTTGTTGTTTGACTTTGTTTTCTACCTGGAAAACCAAAATAAGCAACCTTGTCATTTACAAATAATGACATTTTATCCTTACATCCTTCTTTTTGTTGTCAGGTTTGTTGTTTTGTTTTGTTTTTCTGCCAGTGCTGGTGCTTGAACTTAGGGTCTCACATTGTCATTTGGTTTATTTTCCCCCCTCCAATCTATTGCTCTAACATTTGAGCCATAGCACCACTTCTGGCTTTTAAGTGGTTGAGATACAATTCCCAAGGACTTTCTGACAGGGCTGGTTTATAAAGTGGATCCTCAGATCTTAGTCTGCTTAGTAGTTAGGATTACAGTTGAGAGCTTCCAGTATCCAGGCTCCACATCTTTCAATAGCTACATTTTCTTTCTTTTCATCTCTTATTACTTTGGAGAGTATTCCCACAGGAGTGCTATTTAAGAATAATGATGGCAGACTCTTTGTTTTTTGTCGCTCATGGGACCTGAACTCTCGGCCTGGGCACTGTCCCTCAGCTCTTCAGCTAGCACTCTTCCACTTGAGCTACAGCGCCACTTCCAGGTTTTTCTGCATATGTGGTGCTGAGGAATCAAACCTAGGGCCTCATGCATGCAAGGCAAGTACTCTACCATCAAGCCACCTTCCCAGGCCAACTCTTTGTTTTAATCATATAAAATCGTCAA